ATACATACATACATACATACATACATACATACATACATACATACATACATACATACATACATACATACATACATACATACATACATACATACATACATACATACATACATACATACATACATACATACATACATACATACATACATACATACATACATACATACATACATACATACATACATACAGTCCATAAGATAAAACCAGAATAAAAGATCCCTGGTGGTGATTTATAGTTTTCTGTTCCCATTCTGGGTGGCACGCCAATTTGGTGGTGGTGGGGAGGAGTGAAACAAAGTAGTAGAAGAAGAAGAGATTGGATTGGACCCTAACCACAACACCCAACTGAGAAGAGAAGAAGAGATTGGGTTTATACCCCGCCCTTCACGACCCAAAGGTGTCTCAGAGCAGCTTACAAACTCCTTTCCTTCCCCTTCCCCACAATAGACACCCTGTGAGGTAGAAGTAGAAGAAGAGATTGGATTCATATCCCGCCCTTCGCTACCCAAAGGAGTCTCAGAGCGGCTGACAAACTCCTTTCCCTTCCCCTCCCCACAACAGGCACCCTGTGAGGTGGGTGGGGCTGAGAGAGCTCTGACAGAAACTGCTCTTTTTCAGGGACAGCTGTGCCAGAGCTTGTGACTGACCCAAGGTCACATCAGCAGGTGCAAGTGGAGGAGTGGGGAATCAAACCCAGTTATCCCAGATTAGAGTCCGCGCACTTAACCGCTACACCAGACTGGCTGAACTAGAGGGGAAGGGCAAGGGTGCCAGCCGGTGCAACCAACCATGGCTGCCCTACACCAAAAGCCTGGCGGAACATCTCTGCCTTACAGATACCCACGATTGGGTCAGTTAGCTAAATACCTCATCCAGAATGACAAGCCTACCCTGTTTAATTTCCAAAAGGTATCTGCACATGCGTAGGAGCACATCTTTCTTTAGCCAGGTATGAGTCCAGCATCACCATAGAGACCAGCGAGATTTTGGGGGGGGGGGGGAAATAAGCTTTTGAGAGTCAAACATAAAAGGGTATTACAGCATTGGGAAAATTGCACAAAAGGGCAACTAGGATGCTAAAAGGGTTGGAACACTTTCCCTATGAAGAAAGGTTAAAGGACTGGGGCTCTTTAGCTTGGAGAAACGAGGGCTGAGGGGTGACACGATCGAGGTTTACAAGATTATGCATGGGGTAGAGCAGGTAGAGAAAGAGGTACTTTTCTCCCTTTCTCACAATACAAGAACTCCTTGTGGGCACTCCGTGAAATTGCTGAGCAGTCAGGTTAGAACAGGTAAAAGGAAGTACTTCTCACCCAAAGAGTGATTAACACTTGGAATTCACTGCCACGGGAAGTGGTGGCAGCTACAAGCATGGACGGCTTCAAGAGGGAATTAGATAAGCATATGGAGCAGAGGTCCATCAGTGGCCATGAGCCATAAGGTCTAGATAGGAACTCTCAGTCTGGAGCAAGGGATACTCTGTCTTCTTGGTGCTTGTAGGGGGAGGCAACAGTGGGAGGGCTTCTAGTGTCCTGGCCCCACTGCTGGACCTCCTGATGGCACCGGGTATTTTTGGCCACTATGTGACAGAGTGTTGGACTGGATGGGCCTTTGGCCTGATCCAACGTTGGCTTCTCTTCTGTTCTTATAAGAGGGAATTGGATAAAAGTATGGAGCAGAGGACCATCAGTGGCTATTAGCCACAATGTACAGACAGGAACTCTTGGTCTGGGGCAAGTGGTGCTCTGCATTCTTGCTGCCTGGGGGGGGGGCAACAGTGTGAGGGCTTCTAGTGTCCTGGCCCCACTGCTGGACCTGATGGCTCCTGGTATTTTTGGCCACTGTGTGACAGAGTGTTGGACTGGAGAGGCCATTGGCCTGATCCAACACTGGCTTCTCTCACGTTCTTAATATGGAGCAGAGGTCCATCAGTGGCTCTTAGCCACAAGGTATAGATAGGAACTCTTGGTCTGGGGCAAGTGATGCTCTGTGTTCTTGGTGCTTGGGGGGGGGTCAAAAGTGGGAGGTCTTCTAGTGTCCTGGCCCCACTGCCTGACCTCCTGATGGCACCTGGTGTTTTTGGCCACTGTGTGGCAGACTGTTGGACTAGATGGCCCATTGGCCTGATCCAACATTGGCTTCTCTTATGTTCTTATGTTCTTAACTTCGTATCCTGGTATCCCTGACAAACTCTCAGAAGCTCATACCCTGAAAATCTGGTTGGTCTCTAAGGAGCTACTGGACTCGAATCTAGCAGCAGTGAGATAAGAATCCTCTGTCCCCATTCAGTCCTGGAGGGTTCCCTTGTTCTGAATTTTGCAAAACCCCTCCCACCTTCAGTCTGGGATATAAGGACTCAGGGATCTCCATTCCTACTTGTATCTGATGAAGTGAGCCTTGAATCTTGAAAGGTCATGCCCTGGGAAATCTGGTTGGTCCGTAAGGCGCTCCTGGACTCGAATCCAGCTCTTCTACTGCAGACCAACATGGCTACCCCCCTCTGAAACCACCCTTCTTTAGTGTGTCCCACAAACGGGTGGACACAACAGGAGGCGGGAACGGCCTCCTCTTCATTTCTGAATGGGCAGGCTATGATTCGCCTGCCCAGTATTGGGAATGTCTCTGTACCTTCCTGGTACTTGTAGTTGTGGGTGATGTCCTCCCTGGTATCTCTGCCCACGCTCTTGGTGCTGATGTTCCTTCCCACGCTCGTGGAGTCGACGGTCTTCTTCCGGGAACTGTCGCTCTGGAGCATCCAGTAAACCACGTCCGCGTTGACCTCAGCAAAGACGAAGGGGACATCATACTTCAGTTTCAGTTCCCCTTCCTTGATGGCCTTGACGGGAGTCGGGCCGCAGCAGTAAACTCCTGAGGAGGGAGAGGCGCAGTCAACAAACAGGATGAACAATTTGTGTCTCAGAGGACCTCGGGCCTAGGAAGCTATTTCATCTGTTCTTCAGAACTGGGGAGTTGGAACACACAGGCAGTTGCCAAGTGCCTTCTCCCTCTTCTTTCAGACCAGGAAGTGAGTGTGTGTGTGTGTTGTATAGTGCTTTCGTCACAGCTGACTTAACGGTCACACCTCATGGAGTTTTCAAGACAAGAGACAAACAGAGGGGGTTTGCCATTGCCTGCTTCTGTGTAGAAACCCTTGGTGGTTCTTCTGAGGGCCTTGCTTGTAGGGGACATGGGTTTACCTTTACAGACTCTCTGTCTATGTAAACATGTTAGTTTCTGTTGCCACCAGGACTTAAAAATCCCAAATCTCTCTCTTTTGGTAGAATTATCTAGGGTCTGGGCACTTCGGAGGACTATGTGGCCCTGAGGAAGGACTGTACTGATTTCTGGGACAAGTTAAAACAAAAATTGATTTATTTAATAAAGAACAAAAAATAGGTTTCTGGTTATTTTGAACAGTTGCTGGTGAAAGGAACTTGTAAATATAACTGGCAAAGCTTGGAGCTACAGTCTCTCAAACTCCAAACTTCACTCTGACAGGCTTATACATTCAGTATAATCTCTCTCTAACTCTCATCTATATAGATATATATGCCACACAGGCTAGTCTCTTTGTTTCATTGACACAGAATAGGATCAACTGTCTTAGTCACAAAGACTAAACTGTTGGTCTTCTTCACTCAGAAATGGACTCCAAATCCTATAATCACACAGACTATGTTCACTCTTCAAACTTCACACACAGACTCCTTCATAACTCTCAGAGTCACACAGACTCTCTTCAAAACTCTTCCACACTTGCCTCTCTCATATGACAGAATCTCCTCATAGACACACCCACAGTCAGTCAAACTAAACGTTTAAAGGAACACATACACCAAAACATGGAATCATTACAGTTCTCCCAGCCAAATATTAACTAGGGCCAACTTTGGTTAGCTTCTGAGATCCGATGAGATCGTGTTAGCCTGGGCCATCCAGGTCAGGGCACCGGTCAATGATGCAGAGAATGAAAATGCATCTTGGTGCCAGGGGGGGGGGGCAACAGTGGGAGGGCTTCTGGTATCCTGGTCCCACTGCTGGACCTCCTGATGGCACCTGGTGTTTTTGGCCACTGTGTGACACAGAGTGTTGGACTGGGTGGGCCTTTGGCCTGATCCAGCCCTGGCTTCTCTTATGTTCTTATAAGAGGGAACTGGATAAGCATATGGAGTAGAGGTCCATCGGTGGCTCTTAGCCACAAGGCATAGAGAGGAACTCTGGGGCAAGTGATGCTCTGTCTTCTTGGTGCTTGGGGGGGGCAACAGTGGGAGGGCTTCTGATGTCCTGGCCCCACTGCTGGACCTCCTGATGGCCCCTGGTATTTCTGGCCACTGTGTGTGACACAGAGTGTTGGACTGGATGGGCCATTGGCCTGATCCAACATTGGCTTCTCTTATGTTCTTATAAGAGGGAATTAGATGAACCTATGGAGCAGAGGTCCATCAGTGGCTCTTAACCACAAGGTATAGATAGGAACTCTAGGTCTGGGGTGAGGGATGCTCTGTCTTCTTGGTGCTTGGGGGGGGTCAACAGTGGGAGGGCTTCTAGTGTCCTGGCCCCACTGCTGGGCCTCCTGATGGCACCTGGTATTTCTGGCCACTGTGTGACACAGAATGTTGGACTGGATGGGCCATTAGCTTGATCCAACTTTGGCTTCTCTTCTGTTCTCTTACATTCTTATCTGGTTGTGTGATAATAAAACGGGGGAATGGGCCCCACAAAGGAAGCCATCTTTGGCGATGAGCACAGACCTTTATGGGGTGTGAAGTTGGGCTTTGGTGGGGTACAAGAGTTTGTTGTAGAACCATGGTGTTCAGAATGGTTACCTTCACTTTTCTCTTGAGGAGTTGGGTCCAAAACCTGCCAACCGTCATAGCCTGGAAGGTCTGGACGAGCCATCCAACTTTCCACCCAGCAGTGGAAATTCCTGTGGAATCAGTAAATGGAGGCAAATGAGAACAAGCTAGAAGACCAAGTGTTCCCACCTACTTGATCAGCTATATATGGACTCCGTGGAGAAATGTGGTTCACAGGCACTCGTTTCTGCCTGGTGCATTAGTGAGAAAGTTATTCAGCTAGCCCAGGTCTCTAGCCCCTAGTGTTCCCTCTAAGCTGAGTTAGTGTGAGCTACCTCACAGTTTTTTAGCCTCCGGCTCACACATTTTTGTCTCCGCTCAGGAAGGATGGCTCCAGAGCAAACTAATTTAAGCAGTAACCAAATTGCTCGCTCATGACTTTAATGCCGGTAGCTCACAAAGTAGAATTTTTGCTCACAGGACTCCACAGCTTAGAGGGAGCATTGCTAGCCCCCCACCCCAAACTTCCCTTCCTTCATTCACTATGTCTCTCTCTGTCTGGGTCACCAACACCACCAAACAAATTTGGGAGGGGGAGGTTATTCTGCTTGAGGGTTTAAGCTCAGGCCCTTCTTCTACTTTGCTGCTTAAAGTCATAGCACTATCTTTGCATCTCCCTCTCCTTTTGCACTTGCAACTGAGGGGACTGGCACACTAAATTGAGCTCTCTAGGGGAGCAGGGCTTAACTGGTGTCCCTTCCCCTTCTGTTCCTGGTATATGTGGACTGAACAGGGGTTTAACAGAGATTAGACTAATGGCACACAAAAAAAGAAAAGTTTAATAAGAAAAAACCCACACCACATCTGCAAAGACAACAGACTGAGAAAGGAATAAAAGAAAAGGTAATAAACAGCAATAACTATACATATTTCATGTATACAGATGGTAATCAGAGATAGGCTATAAAGCTGTTGGAGCTCCAGGCATTTAGAAATAATCCATTACTTTGGTTTTAGTGTCTAGAGGTTCTCCCCCCCCCCAGTGATGATGAAGAAGAAGAGATTGGCTTTATACCGCACCTTTCACTACCCAAAGGAGTCTCAGACCAGAACCTTGGATTGTACCCAGAAACAGACTGGGAGCCAGTGTACATGGGCCAAAATTGAAGTGATACGGTCCCTACAACCCGCTCCAGTCGACATCCTGGCTGCAACATTCTGTACCAGCGGAAGTTTCTGAACAGTTTTCAAGGGCAGTCCCATGTAGAGCACATTGCAGTAATCTAATCTGGATGTAAGCCGGGTATGCACCACCAGAGTGGCCAGGTCTTTTCTGCGCAGGAAAGGCCACAGGGTCAGCTGTCTAACTACTCAAAGCTGGTCAAAGGCACTCCTGGCCCCAGCGGCCACCTGCCAGGTGAGCACTCTGAGTCTGGCTGGCTCCGTCCGCCCTCTGCCCACTCACCAAATGTACTCCCGGGTCCCCGCTTGCACTTTCCCATTCTCGTCTAAGTACTGCTCAATCTTCAGGTTGCTGTTGGTATCGTGGGCAGAGTTGTAGTTGGTGATCACACGGGTGGGGATTCCCAGGCACCGGAGCACTAGGGGGGGGGAGAGAGAGGGAGAGAGAGAGATAGGTGTGAAAGGTATGCAGCCATCACCCCAGAAGCCTTCTTACAGCTGCCGCGCCCAGACGGGATAGTCTCTGAAACGTCCAAGGAGGGAGACATGCAGTCCTCCCCTGACTTAAAAATGCCCCACTCTGCAGGGCGGATAGCCTCGGATTTGCAATCATAGTTTTAACCATCTCGTAATGACTTGGATGGCCCGGGCTAGCCCGATCTCATCAGGCCTCAGAAACTAAGTAGGGTCGGCCTCATTAGTATGTGGATGGGAGAGAAAGAAGAAGAAGAAGAAGAAGAAGAAGAAGAAGAAGAAGAAGAAGAAGAAGAAGAAGAAGAAGAAGAAGAAGAAGAAGAAGAAGAAGAAGAAGAAGAAGAAGAGATTGGATTTATATCGCCGTCCACCCAGCGGTTTGAAAGCTTCAGCGAGTAGATAAAATGGGTACCACTCCTTAGAGAGGGTGGGCACACTAAACCCTCCCCCCCAGTGGGGGAGGTGTTAGCTGGTGAACGGAATGTCCAACGCGTAAGACCGAAAAGCCTAGAATGAACTCTCGGCATCAAGGAAGCCTGTAATGGGCCGTCCGGCCAGGTGGTGGCAGTGCTGCGCTGCAACTTGAAGCAGTCCAGAGAAAGCTGACGACATCAAGCCACGCCGAGGGGGGAAAAATGCCGCTGGAACACGTCTGACCTTACAGCTGAACAAAACTCCCCATCGGCTGCGAATGTGTGTGATTTAAAGATTATATGTTGTCCTCCCTTACCCCTTGAATCACTGTTAGTCCCGTGTGTAATGGAGTAACTGTAAATCACTCAGAGCCAGCAAGCTCTGCAGGATTGAGCGATTAATAAATTGAAAGATTTTTTTAAATTATTATTATTATTTATTATTATATCCCGCTTTTCACTACCCAAAGGTGTCTCAGAGCGGCTCACAATCTCCCTTCCCTTCCCCTCCCCACAACAGACACCCGGTGAGGTAGGCGGGGCTGAGAGAGCTCTCTCGAGGACTGCCCTTGAGAGAACAGCTCTGAGAACTTGTGACTGACCCAAAGTTATCCAGCCAGGTGCAAGTGGAGGAGTGGGGAATCAAACCCTGTTCTCCCAGATTAGAGTCCGCACACTTAACCACAACACCAAACTGTGTAGTGGCCAGAGTTTCTACACAG